ATTTGGAATATTAAATCTTTTAAGAACATTGTTCAAATATTGAGTTTGGGTCAACTTTATAGTTTTCTTTGCCCTATCTCTTTTCACTTCCATTCCTAAACATTTCTTAACTGGTCCCAAATCCTTTACTTTAAAACATTGTTGCAATTTTCTTTTTAAATTCTCAACTTCAACATTGTCATTGTGAAATATGAAGAAGTCGTCAACATACAATGCTATATTAATTATTGAATTACCCTTTTGTTTGGTATAAATACATGGTTCGGAACAAGTTTGCCTGTACCCTAGGCCTTTTAGAACCTCTGTTGCTTTCTTATTCCACGACCTAGCGGCTTCTTTCGGTCCGTAAACTGATTTTCGTAATTTGCAAACTCCCCCTTAATGTCATATCCTTCAGGAAGTTCAATATATATAACTTCTTCAAGATCTCCGTTTAAAAATGCGGTACATACATCAAGGTGGTCAATGTTCCAATCGTGCTTTACAGCTAAAGCAAATAACAGTCGCATTGAAGAATGTTTCACCACGGGAGCGAAAGTTTCAAAATAGTCTATTCCTTCTGTTTGGCTACAACCTTTCGCCACCAAACGTACTCTCTGACATGCGACATTTCCTTCAGCATCTCTTTTAATTTTGAAGACCCGTTTTGATTTCACTATTGGCTTATTTGACGGTCTATCCACTATTGTCCATGCTTCATTTGTTTGGAAAGCTTCTAGCTCCTTTTTAATAGCTTCTTTCTATTTAGATTTATCGGAGCTTGACAGTGCCTCTTTATATGTGACTGGTTCTGAGTCCTCATCTTTATGCATGGCTGAGTAGGTAACAAAATCTGGAAATTCTTTCTGTTTCCTGCTTCGAAGTGGATATCTTCTTCCTTCCAAGTTTCCTTGTAATTGTTGTAAACCATCTGGCTCTAATGGAACTTCATTTCCTTCATTTTGTACCTGTTCTTCTTCATGGTTTTTTCATGTGGAATCATTGCTTCATTATGTGAGTCGAGGTAGAAATTTAACGACATTGGAAGAATATCTTTAAGCTGAAATCCTTTCTCACTTTCTTTCTTGTTTGTTATTTCTTCTTCCAGAAATTCTACATCTCTTGCCACAATTATTTGAGACGGATTGCGGGGATCTGATAACCTTAAGCTTTACTTTCCTCACTATATCCCATAAAATGTACTTCTTGCTCACAGCATCCAGTCTTTGGCGTTTCTCTGATGGTACATGAGCATACGCTGGACATCCGAAAATTTTTATATGTGAGAGATCAATCTTTTTTCCTGTCCATATTTCTTCAGGCAATTGATTCTTTAGTTTCTTGTGAGGTGATCTGTTTATAAGATATACGGCTGTTTGAGCTGCTTCAGCCCAGTATCTTTTGTTGCAGCCGGAATCATACAACATACATCTTGTTTTTTCCAAAATGCTGCGATTAGCTCTTTCGGCAGTTCCATTTTGTTGTGGGTTATACGGCATAGAGAATTCCCTTTTGATTCCCTTTTGTTTTAACATTTCATTGAATAATTTGCCACAAAATTCACCACCATTATCGGAACGAACACTTTTTATTGTCAATCCAATTTCTGTCTCAATCATTTTTATAAATTCTTTAAAGGCTTCATATGTGTCACCTTTTTGTTCCAAGAAGCGAATGAAGACTTTTCTACTGTGATCATCCACAATAGTCAAAAAATATTTAGCATTCCCATAAGAGGGTACTTCAAATGGCCCAACCAGATCTAAATGCAATAGATCAAGTATTCTTTTTGACCGTTTGTTCTTTGATTGTAGGAAAGGCTTCTTTGTCATTTTGCCTTCCAGACATGGAACACATTTCTTTGACTGATCTTCTTGTTCTTGAAAATCAATGCCACTAGCTAAACCTTTTTTTAGCAACCGCATGCTAACCCTATTTAAATGCCCCAAACGCCTATGCCACAACAGTTGCTCGTCAACTTGCTGGGTACTTGCAACTTGTTCATTTTTTACGGTATTAATACAAGATTTTTTACATTTGTGATTTTTCTTTTTAGTACTAATCTTATCTTTAGTTGCTGTATTTGCAGATTGGGTCATGTTAACTTTGGTATTTAAACAATAAATCCCATTTTCGGGATATGCTTTAGCAAGAACTTTGCCTCTTACTTGAAATTCATCAGAATCATATAACTTGCAACAGTCTTTGGTGAATAACACAATTGTATCCTTATTTACAATTGAGTTTACAGACAACAAATTTGTAGACAATCCCGGTACATGCAATACATCTGAGATATGGCTATAATTGTCATTCATTAGTTTTACATCACCAAAACCTGCACTGGTTAACATGTTGTCATCAGCAAGGGTTACTTCATGTTCCTTAGAATCATGTGTTTTATAATTTTGCAATATAGTCTTATTTCCGGTCATATGGTGTGAAGCACCAGAGTCTATTACCCAAGTGCTCTCTTTAACTTTAACATGACGGGCAGACACCATATACATGGATCTATTACTGGTCTTACTTTTCCATTTATTTTCATCAGACCTATGATCGGATCCTTCTTTATTCTTATCAGTACTATTAACTGAGTTAGAAGACTGATTGCTCTTAAATTTTTGCCTTTGCTGATTGTTATGATTCTTATTGTTCGCCTTATCCTTATCTTTGAACCAACAGTTTTTATTTATGTGGCCTAGCTTACCACAAATTTGACATTTTGCTGGTTTACGTTTAATCTTATCTTTGGACAGAAAGGCTGAATCTGAATTCCCATTTTTACCAAATTCAGTGTCTTGCAATAGCTTAGATTTAATGAGCTCACTAGTCAGAGTTACGTTGGAGTTTTCAAGCGCCATACGCATGGGATAATACTCTTTAGTTAAACCCTTTAACATTAATGCTGCTAATAGCTCATCATCTATTTTTTTTTTGTCCATTGAGACTAGTCTGAGATTTATTGACATGAAGGCATTAACATATTCCTGCATGCTTTTATAGTCCTCAAGTTTCAAAGAGCACAAATCAGTTCGAATACTTATCCAACTATTTACTCCCTGATCTTTGAATGTTCTTTCCAACGCGTCCCAGGCTTCCTTTCCTGTTGTTGCCTGGACGACGTAAGATTTAACTTGGGGCTCTAATGTCAGACAAATGTCAGCGTCTAACCGCTTGAGCTATGACGCGGCCAAGTAATTTACTTCCTTGTACTAACGGCTCCCGTACTCCCGTCCTCCTAGAAGTTACACCTCATCATTCAGATGGCCCTTTTAAATTAACGGTCCCCTTTTCCGTTATATTTAGATTTTCTGTGGTTCAGTACAAAGCTATGTCAATTGATAGCACCCTTAAGTGTAAAAGTTACTTCATAAGTACAAATAATAATATTTGGAAACGATTCTCTTCCATTACACAACGTAAAAACTACAAAAACTTAAAAAAAAATTGAAGTCGTTTTATTTTACATCGGATATTGCCATCTATCAGGGTATGTCAGTCCTAAGTTCTGCGAGTTTCTTTCAAGTTTCAACGCCACTTCACCTTAAAATACTGTTACTCTGTCTCCTATTATATGTGTTTTTACACCCTAATGTGTATAAATTTTTGGAACAGTCTCTAAATACAGTAAGGATGGCCAGAGTAGGAATACAAGATATTTGACTTCAAGGGACCTCATTATTCTCACGCGCAGCTTAATATTATTAGGAAAGTAGAACTTAGGAATGTACAAGGGGTTGGGTGTATATTTCGTATGGGAGAATTCAAAACTCTATAAGATTTCGATCAGAGTTCTCATGAAAAGCAGTCACTCGAAAGAGAGAATTATTAGCCAGGAGAAGAGTACTGCTTTGAATCTACTGAAGTAAGTTGTGAGGCTGGACTGTGCTAGACTTGTTTGGTGATTTTAGCAGTGCTGAGTCTTCGTGTTCTGCTACAAGAGAATCAGTTGAAGGAGAAGCATCGTGTGTGTATGAGATCAGAATAGAAAGCTGTTCAAAGAAGCCGTCGCGGACTCGGAAACTGGGAAGCTCAGTGTGGGGAGATAAGCACAGAGTCTCGAAGAACGTACTGGGAGGAAATAAACGGGATGGAGAATTGAAGATACTTCAAGAAAATATGAGAGGCAAGTCAACAAAGAGGAATATGCAGAAGGGAAAACAAAACAGCTGTCTGCAATATTAAATGTATTGCAGTCTGGGAAGAAGAGGATCAACTGACTGTATTAAAATTAAATACTCGTTTCTATTCCAGAATTAATGTGATTGTATTTATAGTAAGTGAAATTAAAATATGGCAGGAATAAGCCTGGCTATGCTGAGCAAGATAGTTCCCCTAATATTACAGAGATGTTCTGCAATAAAATAGTTTCTATAGTGTTCTAATGATGGTCAGAAGATCGGCATATGACAGAATCTTCATGGGGTTCTATGAGGGTTCAGTCCTTAGTGCTCAGTTTTACTCCACAGATGGCGCTAGTGGTAGACACAAAATTATTTCACAAATTCTCCATTTAATCCTATGCATTAACGTTCATGTACTTGGTTTGTTGACTAGCCTTTTAAATGCCAGCGGGCCACTCTAGCGGCCCAGCCGGTACAAGCGAAGAATGCCAGCGGGCCGCTCTGGTGGCCCTGCTGTCTACCAGTTTCTAAACGGCTGTAATTTTTTTCTTTGGCTTCAAATGTCGCGCCATTATATACCACTGTCTAGATCGGAGTTTGAAGTCATAGAATCTGCGGTTTTATATCTATTGCAGTAAGAATAGTCCCTCTGTGAATTATATCGCAGTGGCTTACACTATGAGCCTCTGAAGTCGGTGTTATTTCATTGTATTTGTACATATTCGCCTATAGATGGCACCTGAATTCACTTCAGCTGGAAAAATTGTTCTCCAATTTATATTCTGTCCCACTCTCGTGACCTTCGAGACAAAACTGTCCCAGCACATGTTCAGTGAGTCTTTGTGTCTGCAATACTGTGCATCGATTATGGTATTTTTTTTTTTTAGATTTCCCATGGCTAGGAGACACGTGAAAGCTGCTGACATTCCCGGTTTGTTGGAAGAAGACGTTATTAGTGATTTTGAGTTGTCTGACAGTGAAGTTTTCACTTCAGACAGCAGCGGGAGTGAGATTTCTACGTCAACTTCCAGCCCTCCCGCCAGTTCACCTGTGCGCATCAGTGAATCAAGTGACAGTGACCTTGGTGGCACAGTGGAAAGCATTCATTGGACTGAAGTTGCTGAGAGTAATATTCAGGCCCAACTCCCTTTTTGTTATACAGAAACGGAAGGACCAAAGCATATCCCATCCCCACCTATGACCCCAATTCAGTATTTTTATCTGTTTTTCACCACATCCCTACTAAATTCCATAGTGACCCAAACAAATAATTATGCCACGACTTTCCTCCAGAGCCAGAAAAATATTCCTCCTCACTCCCGGATTCTAAAATGGACGGATGTTACAGTCACAGAATTGAAAGGGTTCATTGCCTGCCTTCTCAATATGGGAATCAAAGGGCAGCCAACCATTTCTTCATATTGGTCTGTGAGCCCAAGCCTAAATAATCCTTGGTTCCGTAGCATGTTCTCCCGCAACCGTTTTCAGCTCATTTTGAAATTTTTCCATTTGGTGGATAATAAGAACTTGGCAGGCCCTTAACAACCCGGATATGACCCTTGCGCAAAATTCCAACCACTGATTGATCATGCCAATGCATTTTTCCGGCACCATGTGCCACATCAACAACTTAGTGTTGACAAAAGTTTGGTTGGCACCAAAAATCATAAACAATTGATGCAATATTTGCCTAATAAACATCATCACCGATGGGGCATAAAATTGTGGATGTTGTGTGACTCAGTGTCCAAGTATTGTGTAGCTTTTTTTGTATATCGGGGGGCCAAGGATGTTGAAAACATATCTGAAAGAAAAAAATTGGATTAGCCTACACGGTAGTAATGAAACTTTTGAATATGGGAAATTGTCTCCTTAAAGGCTATCACATTTTCATGGATAATTTTTTTACCAGCATTCCCCTTGCTAAAGAACTTTACAAACTCCGGACATTCGTAACCGGCACAGTCAGAAGAAACAGAAAATATTTGCCTGCAGCAGTTGGAAATAAATTTCAAATCGATCAAAAACAGTATTTCCGAAGTGGTCCAATTCTTACTGTAGCATACCGTGAAAAAAAAATCTCAACGTTCCCCAGTTTTGCTCCTCTCCACCCATGGTCAAGCTTCTGAAACAGAGTACACCCGAGTTCGTCATGGTAATAGAGAAACTTTGAAAAAACCCCAAAATATCCATTCCTATAACCAGTTCATGGGTGGTATAGATACCTCAGACATGATGGTGTATTCGTGCCTCAATGAACGTCGTACAGTGAAATACTGGGAAAAAGTATGCTTCAATGTATTTTCTCGAATGATGCTAAATTCGTACATCCTGTACAAAGAAAATATGACAGCTGGTTTGAAACCAATGTCTCGTCTGGACTTCTATACCAAAATTATCGAATCTCTGGCTGAAGAATGGCTTCAGGAGAGAAGAACTGTACCTACAGCTGGACCATCAGATGCAGGAGAAAATAAGGATAAATATTTGAGAAAGTTGTCCCCAAGAAAACTAAAGGATTGTTGTGTTTGCAACAAGAGAAAACTCGGGAAAGGAGAGAGAAGAAGATCTCGCACAATATGTGCAAAGTGTGAGAAGGGCCTGCACGGTGAATGCTTTCCTGAACACAAATGTGCCGGTGGTACATAGTCCACTTTTGCTGTTTCATTGGTGCGAAGTATATGAGGGCGAGAACTGTAGTGTTTTATAAATTTTTAAATGATGAATAAACTATTTTGTGTACAATTTTCAAATTTTAACACCATGTATAAAATGAAGGGAGCTATCAGACAACAACAATAGGTAATTATTTTTTTTTCAATAATTTGATGTTGATATTATCCTTGAAAGTCAAAGTTTCGTTTCTTTTTCCTAAAAAAATACGAAAAATATTTTTTATCTTCATAATGTGCTGTGATAGACATAAAATTGTTCCAGCACAAGAATATACATTCATCTCGCAACAACCGGGAATTTTTCCAGTTTTCTGACTTTAAAAATGGAGTGAGTAGAATTTATTATAAATATGCATGTAATAGTATCTAAAACGGATTTAAATGGCCTGGCAGTTTAGAGGCGGCCACTAGAGCGGCCGCCTGGCACTCTAAGGGCTAGGTGTGTTGCATAAAAATTCTCGCCTCTATCCTACCTTAGCTTCAGGTCTGTCCATGCTTTATCAACGTAACTGTGCTAGTCGTAGGAGATGATAAAAAGGGAAGTCTCGAATCTGTGACAGTAAAATATAGTCGCGAGTCCCAAGGGACTCGGACCGGAGAATGACTGCACTGGCGAGGACCAGCAACGATTGTAAACAACAGACCCGTCCTCTCGTAAGAAAGAACACCCCACATCAACAAACCCTCAACTGTCTGACAGTAATAAAAATCTGATCGTAAGACCCAAGTGGGTGCTTTATTCCAAGAGAGACTGGCCCACTGACCGTCGGTCGTGACATAAGACTCAGACTCAGGGTCAGACATGAGTTGTCCAGTAACATATCAGACCCAACTGAGGAGTTGTGTTCCCCTTCGTCTAAGGACAGAAACAGATGCAGTTTGCGAAATGTTGTGTTCTATAATTTTTAGGAATACTGGTCGATGGACAAAGTATAAAAGCCCAGTAATTCTGACTGAGAGTACTTAGCGACCATGATCAAGTTTAGGCAACATGGAGACAATTATACTGGTATCTGTATCGTACAATTAGTAACTGTAATTAATAACTACATTGAGCACATCATTAATCATATCATGATGCAAATAATAACAGGACTTCACACTAACAGCTCTCATGATGGACGAGACTCTATAGTGATTCGTGCAAAGTGAAACCTTAATGACTGTATTACAATTTGAAGTGCAGGACAAGTAAATGAACCATTGAGCGATCGGAATTTAAATTATTATGTGATTATCTGTATTCTTTATATTGTTTTCTTCTTCTGCTTTTGCACGTGTGGATGTGGTTTTCCGATGTATCGGTAGTACATGAACCCTGTTTCAACCTACCCACTTGGGCACTGAAATCAGAGGCAGCATGTACTTCCGTAATGTCCTCAGCACTGCCTAAAGCACACAGTGCAATGACTCAAAAGGCAGAATCAACATCAACAATGAACCACCGAAAAAACCTAAAATCGATACCTTTTGTGTATTCATTAATAACTAAGGACTACTGAACGACGTACTAGAATATCGACTAATTCACACATTTTCTCGATGCGCAGGCCTGATGCAAATATCTCGAGTCTCCCTCCTTTAATCCAAATACATTCCAGAATGCCCACTTTGAAACCCTTGTATCTTTCCGCCAGTTTAATTACGAAATTTATTTCTGGATTGCGACTTAATTTCGTGCCGAAAGACAATGATGGCAGTCCTATATCTGCACTAAAATCTGCTCTGATTCTGCTCAGTTGCGGTCAATGTGGAGAAGATAGCAATTCCTCCAAAATCACTAACTGCTAAGAAGCATAAACGTGTTGAATACGTAAATAAATCGAATTTGTTTGTAGGGTAAATATTTTTCTGTGATTTTCATAAATTATTTCAGCTCATCTGAAGTCAGTATAATTTGTTACTGAAAGAAAGGAAAGTTTACCCTTCTCTTACGTACCTGTTTTATGCTTTTTTGGACCTTTACGTGCAACTTCGTATATTTGGGACAAATTGCTCTAATTCCAATGTGTCACAATTAACCGGAATACACTGTATATATGTATGTGTATTTTCGTAGCTTGTTGGTTACAACACTTGTCGAAATGTTCATATATATTTACGACAATTGCCGAAACTTATAGTAAATATATACGAAATCCATGATTTATTCCAGCCATCTTACAGAGCATACACTCAACCACCTCACTCTTCACTCTTCACTACATGTTTCGGCACAAAGGTGCCATCTTCAGGTGCTTTTTGATTTACGTTAAACTACTTCACTGCATGCCTTGCCGTCTTCATATTAAATAACTAAAATATATGTTCATTATATATATTGATAAATATTAAATATATTAAAAATATTAAATCTGTTCAGGATTTTTTATTCCTACGTCGAATCTCAATACGCTAGTCACACCTATCCTCTTCTATCAGAGCACTCTTCCTATTTTCGTGTGTGTATTGTGCTTTGTGTTGTGTCTTGCTCCTGTGACTGCGTGTGTTACACGCTTAGACGGCTGGAATAAATCATGGACATAAATCAGTGCAACAGGACGCTAAAATATAACATATACGTAATCGTTAACTAAGTGTTGTCCTAACTAAGAAGCTACGAAAATGATGCATTTACACGATTCTATTACACATAATACATGACTTGCTCAAATAGCATGAGAGAATGCTATGATACAATATTGCTAAAGTTTTTAATACATTGCAATAATCCTAATTTTGACCAATTTTTAGTTGCGTGCGATCATCGGAATTAATTTATGGACCTTACATTCTCAAAATTTTGTTTTAAGTACTGTTCCATCTAAGAAGCATAAATATTGAAAAACATCTAAAACAATTATCAACTAAAATGACATAACACACTTCATCATACCTTGACAAACTGCGTAAAATTTCTTAACAGTCCAAAACACAGTTTCTAACAGATTGCGTTCAAACCTTAATGTGCATTAATCTTTTAAAGGAGAGTTGTAAATATGCGTGTGATCTACATTAACATTAAAATATGTGTATTGTTCTGGTGGAGTATGTTCATTTTACGTGTGAGTCTCAGAATAAATAATACCTGTTCCTTTACACAATGTTAATCAGTTGGTTCTATTTGCCGTGAAACAGAAAGTGAACTTCTATGTACTCTTTCGGTAAATTTCTTCTTCATATATTCAGTTGTATACGAAAAGTGAAATTTATATGCGGTCTGGAGCGGGTATTTCGAGACAGTCAGTAAAATAAATTGCCAGTTTCTGAATAAGACTAGAATTCTGAAGTGTTGGGATTTTTTCGGAATAAAAATGCCACAAATTGTGACTTTTACAAATCGGATTATTTTAATCAGTAAGATTATTAGCTACGGTCTGTATAGACTGCTTTATAAACTTACTACTGTTAGAGAATTTCTTCTTTCCATACCTATCTAATTAATTCTTTGGCGTACATAGACTCGTAACTACTGTCGTAGGAAATGTGTTTCTACTCGTGTGACCGATTTTGGCGTGGACTAGTATATCTGTAGAAAAATTCTCATATATACCTTCATGTGTTTAGAAAACAAAGGTAATTTTCCTTATTTAACAACAGACCTATGTTTATTTTATTAAATCGAAATGTTAACGTCCTCGAACGAAAATAATTTTAAAATATGAGTAACAGATTAATTTAATGTAATATACATGACCTTGAAAATATTTTCTTCATCATTTCGTGAATTTCAAACAAGGATAAGAATGACATGACTATTTCTTTACATTCAAACTTGGATTTCCAGAATGTGTTCTTTCTCCTCTGTCCGATAATTTCTATACATATCGGCACTGGAGGTGTATAAACTGTGTATTTTTATAGTGAAATTAAAGAAACCAAAAGATT